TTAAATAAAATAAACCACTAAAATATAAAGTCTAGGAGCTGGTGAGATTTACCAGCTACACCAACAAAGCACATTATTACATACTTTGTAAAACATAACACTTTACTTACATGCATAAAAATATGTTACTTACATATACAAAAGGAATACGTATATACACTGGTGTGCAAAAATTAAGGACGAAGTCGAAAAATTAGCATATCAGCTGAACGAAGAGGTAGAGTGGACAGAAAGACCAATCAGGAGATTAAGTAAGGTGATGTACGGTAGCACATGCGCAGATATGCAGGTAGACGTAATGGGGGAGTGTCTGAGTAATTATAAAGCATGTTCTCGGTGTAAGATCAGTATTTCTGGCAAAGAGATTGCACGCCGTATGGCAGTTAAAATCACACCGAGTTGCTGCCTCAGCGAGAAATGGCGAATAATCAATCTGTTAGACGACATCTGGATGCTTTTACCCGAGGTCGAATCATTGGGAAGTTGGAGGAAGGGCGCAGTGTGACAAGTGTGGCTGCAGAGTTCGGAATTGCTCACAGCATCGTTTCACGACTTTGGAGACAATTTCAAACTACAGGACCAGCTATCCGGGGGTTTAGTTGTGGTCGTCGACGAGGAACCACACCCGCAGATGACCGGTATACTGCCTTACAGGCCAGAAGAAACAGGCGGCAGACAGTGGGAGAAATCGCTAGACACACGACACAGGCGACTGGACGACCGATATCGCGTTTTACCGTGGCCAGAAGACTGCACGGTGGTGGTCTGTTTGCACGACGCCCTGTACGGTGTGTACCTCTAACGCCTGCCCACCGGAGAAGGCGTTCTCTGTGGTGCCGGGAACACCGGAATTGGAGAGACAATGAATGGGGACGAGTACTCTTTACAGATGAGAGCAGATTCAGTCTGAGTAGCGATTCTCATCGCATACTCATCTGGATAAAGCGGGGAAGCCGCAATCTTCCTTTGAACATCACTGAAAGGGACAGGTTTGGAGGTGGCGGTGTTCTCGTTTGGGGAGGCATCATGCTTGGTAGTCGTACAGACCTTCACATCTTCGACGCAGGTTCAGTCAACGGGACCCGTTATTGTAACGAGATACTTCTTCCATATGTGCGTCTTTTTAGAGGCGCTATGTGTCCGCAGTTCCTTTTCATGGACGACAATGCACCATGTCATCGCACAGTAGCTGCCGAACAGCTCTTAGAGAGCGAGGATATTGAACCTATGGATTGGCCCGCACGATCTCCGGATCTCAATCCCATCGAGCATGTATGGGATTTTTTAGGCAGACGCTTGGCAGCTCGTACCTTACCACCAGTAACGATTCCGGAGCTTCGATTGGCGCTGCAAGACGAATGGGCAGCAATGCCTCAACAACTCATTGATACCCTCATTCTCAGCATGGGCAGACGCTGAGAAACCTGCCTAGCAGTCAGGGGAGATCATTAATTGAAATGTCCTATTAAAGACCGGATGTTTCTTGCTGGACACCCATCACAGAGATGTTTCGGCCTTCAGTCGCATTGCGCTCCATGCTACTTTGTCAATAAAGCTTCTTTTTATCCCTCTGATTTCTCTTTTAGTAAGTGTTGCTTACATTACTCATGTCCTTACGTATTGGGGATCTTACGGTATTAAATGTGTTGATTTGGAAAGCTTTTGTACAAAGTTATATTGAAAAAATCGTCTCGTCCTTAATTTTTGCACACCAGTGTAGAGCAAATCGGCCTTTTTCTCGAAACATGATCTTTCTGCTTTTTTGGTCAATCCCAGAGTAACTGCAGGCATTTCATACAGGAGCTATGGCGTTCTTCAAAGTTTACAGAAATGCTCAACATCTTACACCATATTCAGCAGAGAGATACTCGCTAAACTTGAACTCACCATAATGTTGCAACTGGAGGTGGATTTAAATTTCTACAGTATCACGGTATATTCTACAGTTAAATTTAAACAGATGTGGTTTAATGCTGCATTTTCATGTTTGTGCACATTTTGTTTTCCTGCAAAGGGCACTATGTGCAAATGTAAGTGTTTGCGTTCTACCATCTTAGCAAATTTTGGGTTCTGAAAATAGATATGTTTATTTTATGGTAATAAATAATAATGAATCTGATGTGAACACTCCATGACGTTTTCGTACGGTCTATTAAATTACACACACTTTTTGCTGGACTTCAGTTAAACTTAGTATTTCCTTAAATTATTCTGACGTAATTTACCGATCCCTCAAGGCGATCTGAAAACGACATTAAAACTACAGATTTTGGAAATTAAATATCCCGCTCAAATTTTGTCGTACGGAAATCAAACTTCTTATAACTTTTTTTTTCTCATAACGAGAATAAAACGTTTGCAATTATAATTATAAGAAGCGGGGGGAGCGCATTAAAAGTTAGGTTTAGCTTTTTGTCGTCAGTAAATTATTTTTAAAATTTGACAGTGTCAAAACAGGAATATTTTCGTCATTTAAAAAATTTCTGTAATAGGAAGTATGTGAATCCGACTAACTAATGCGAAAACAAACGCCGGGTAAGGAAATGAGTATATAGTATATGTTATAGCAGGCCCATATACAAAACTTCAACGTTCTATGGCTAATCGGTTTCGAGTTATGCGAGATACACACAAACCTAAATACTTTCGTACGGGGGGGGTACATTCGTCACGAAAAAGTCTCTTTTGAAATCCATAGTAAATCCTTTTTACAATCCATTCTGGAAAAGAGTCCTTTATCATGTGCGTATGTACAGACGTTACGCAAATAACTCGTTCTTTGAAATAATGATACCTGAAAGTTTTCGGCGTCATAATACTTCCTTTACTTTATACAAGGAAGTAAAAAGACTGATAATCATATTCAATTATGCATTCACGAGATACTAATATTTTTATTTTTACTTTTTAGGCTTTGTAGGTTATTTGCTAGTTCTTTCAAATAGCAGTAAGTCTCCAAATATTTTATAATATTATAGAAAACATTTCGTTAATAAGTGGAATCTGTCGAGCTAATTTGTGTTCTAAGAAAATTAGCATTGATATAAGCAATACTTTTCATCGTAAATGAAATCTTATGAAGGTGACTAATTTTTGAAATTTTCTAGAAGATATCAGTAATAGTAGAGAAGGCAAAATTCAAAATTTTAACACTATTGTACACATAAATGTTCGTATGCTTATAGGCAATAATATCGACTGAAAAACACATATCTACAGTGCATCTGCGAAGTTTCTGTATCCTTACATTTTCTTTACAGATGTTTTAAAAGAATGAAACGGAATTAAATTGTCTCACGTAATAAAGCACTTGACGCAAATGATGCAAGTTTGAAAATACAAGCAAAAGTCAACTGAAAAATGCCGTGTGGAGGCCATAGGTTCGGTCATACTTGAAATCTTGGAAATAATGTCAAATAGTAGACTCAGACTTGACTGTCCTTCACGAGAGATTAAACAGAAATCCACTGGATAGCTGCACAGGTGAGTCCATATTATAAATTACATTATAAGTGTTTAGGATAATAAGTGCAGGAGATTTTCAGGGATGAATCGTAAAATCGTAAAATAGAAATATCATGCTAGGATTTACTAAATTCCGTGTTTTTAAAAGAAGAAAGAAGGGAAACCTATTGTTCTTATGCTGTAAGAAATGCTCATAAAGATTATATGTTTTAACGGAAATACGCAAAAAATTACTAATAACACATATAAAGGATAATATGAGAAAGATTTCGACATGTTAACAAACACTGTGAGTTTTTTCTTATTTATCAAATTTTTACTAATTAAAGTTGCGAAGGGCATCGGCAATTTGCACGTTATATAGGTCATTAGCACTGTAAATAAAGATTAAGAAAAGTTTGAAGACATTTTTATTTTTATTTCTGATCTGGAAGTGAGAAATATAAGAGTCTTAATACTTCTTTGGATTTAGTTATTGCGCTATATATTAAATAATTAACTTATCGTTATAACGTTTTCTATTGGATTTTAATATAACAAATTATGTGGACTATATTTAATTACGAAATGAAAGCTCGTATCATCGATGGATTAACTATAAGATTTCATTTATGGCCCTTTGAACTTTTAAATTACGTCTGGAATTTCTAATATATTTTCGTCTACCACAAAAAGAGCTTCATGCCTAAGGTACATGCTTTAAATATAAGCAAGTAGAGCCATTAGATTTATTTTGGAGCAAAAATGAAAAATTAACGTCGCCCCCAGGAGAATTTAAACTACAGAACTCCCGACTACCAGCCGGAAGTGCTTCTAATATCATCACGAAAGCACTCGGCGAGAATGGAGAAAATTCCTTACAGTCTTTCCCACTTAGATAGCGACTGAACAAGAGTAAACCATTCGCTAAATCTAGGAGGTGACGAATTACCGTTCATCATATCTTACTTCAAGCGCCACTTGTAGAGTAGTTAGATTCATTTCAGAGCAGAAAACATGAAAAATTAGCATTGCCCTCGTCGAGATTCGAACTCCAGAACTCGTGATTGCTAGCCGTACGTTCTTCCAATTACGCCACAAACGCATGTGGCAAAGAAGAAGAAAATTTCTTAGGAAATGAAAGATTAATTTAAGCTGTAAGGTCTGTTTTAGATAACATGTTGAATTTTGGCACTGAAAGTGTTTATTTTTCAAGGTTTTCCTGTACTTATAAGCTCTTAGGCATGCGGATAACTGCAGCCGGGTTATTACACGTTAAATTTATTTGTATTTTAAGACCATGTGAGTAGTGGTGGATACGTTTCTTTTATTTTTAATTGTAACCTTCAGGACCTAGTGTTAAAAAGCTTTCAAATGTTACTTCTTTCTGAGTTCTAGATTAAATGCGAAGACTTGGAGCCGTTCAAAGCGCAGAAAGATTAAATAAGGAATAGTTTAAAGAGTCAATTAGGTTTGACCTCACAAAATGAATCATACATAAAATTTAAAGTGGTTTAAATACTAAATACAGAATAAAGAAAGCACTTGTAACTCACCTGTCAACAACATCTTGGTAAGTTTCATCCATTGTTCCTTCGCTGGGGCATAAGTGACTGTCGGCCAACGACAAATCACTTAGTAAACGTACAGCATCTTGTCCAGAACCCATCAGACCAGCTGTCAGTAGTTTCAGTGATTTCAAACCATTACTATCTACAGATGTAAACTCCTGTTCGTCTTCGGAAGTGGAACTCTTCCTCTGTGGAGGGTACGTCAAGGAACGTCCAGTCCCTGACTTAGCAGGCTCTTGGATCATGGCCCCTCCGAACTGTTTACAATTAATGCCTTTCCTTCTCTTGCGTTTTTCAGTGCCACTCAAACGATTAGAAACAGAAGTCCACAATTTCTCGGCGCTACTTGTTTTCTTTATGCGAACTTCAGGAAGGAGCATGGAAGAAACGGAAGTGACGTTGTCGCTTGCGGAACGAAAGTGCCCACGCCTTCCGGAAATGCTAGCAGAAGGCGAAGAAGAGGTTACACAACTGACGTAGGCCGTTACGTAAGCTCCAGGCCCAACCTCAGAGTCCGAGACGAGACCTTCATCATAAGCAAGATCTGCATCTTGAGAATCACTGGTGGCAGCATTTGATTCCAATTTTACAATGCTTGGGCAAGAGGCTACGGCTGGGACAGGTGCAGGGGGCGCCACCTTCTAAATGATAAATCAGTTAAAAAAAGAAAAGTCCAAAATACAAATGAATTTCCATATTCATGTTCTGTACTTATGCCTTTTACGGTATGAAAGTTCAACATAGCAGTTAATTATTCCATTTACTATTAAATTGCAACTATATTTATTTCTTTTCAGAAAATGACAGTTATAATTATATTCATAAGAGCACATCATATGAGAATAACGCTGCAATTAAAGAGTATATTAAATATACATATGAGATATATAATGTGTTGCCTACTTGAGAAATAGCTTAATTTGCAAGTGGTACATCACGGGAAAAAGTACTGTACTAAAATAGTGCACTAAAATGGAATCAGATGAAGTTATGGTTTGAATTCAGTGCATATATTTATTACACTTACATTTATTTTATAGTTACCGTTACAGTGTGGATAATGACAGCTGATATTAGCGTGATCATTCTTCTTTCTTATTTCATATCGCTTAAGTAAATGAACGAATTTTTGGTAAAGTAACGCTTTCATTATAGTGACAAAGCTTGGATATCACAATTGTCATCGATGTATATATCTAGAAATTACGAGTTCAATTTTACTTACATATCACGGTACTATTTCCTTTTTACGTTCCCTTTGACTGACACACAGTTCGTATCTAAATGTGAAGATAAAAACAGAAAAAGAAAAGTCATAGAAGATAGTACCACAAAAAATGCAAGCCTCTGAAAATTTTCGCATTGCCTATTTTGATAAATTATACGAAACATTCTATCTCTAATTTTCTACATTAGCTAATTCTCATTTGTACATTAGTTCTAAATATGGAGAACGAAATTAAATTACACATTTTAATTCCCTTCTATATACAGAAAAGCAGATTGATAATATCCGGTGTTTAATGTGTTAAATTCCTATTCCTACAACTCATACAACAGATTATTAACATATATATGTACTAAACAATATATATATATATGTAAATGGTTACAAAATTATGTAAGTAGTTGCGACTATTTAGTTGCAACGTTTATAAATTTTACGTCGTGCTTCAGTGTAAGAACGTCCATGCACATGTTTTCAGTGCAGGCATAACTGGAGGTAACGCAATTAAGAATATGAACGGATAACTGGGCAATATTTATAAGAATTTTATCAAGTTAAGAGAGACTGCAGCTATGTCTAATACGGAGAGGAAATCTGCTGTTACTGACGAATTCACAGCTGTTGCTTTCACAGAGAGGACAAGGATGTAAGAAAAAAAATGAATGTTGATAAATACTTTCACAGACATAATGAGCGGGCGCGACTGCGTAATTGTAGCGAATACCAAATTATGTTTGTCGCTTTCGCTCTTATGTCTTTGGAACTCGCTGCTATTGCTATTCACGAGATGAAACAAGAAATCATTCAAAATAAATTTGAAAATTTGATCGAAGAAAAACTTTTAAAGTAAGCTTTAATCATTTTATTACAGGAAATTAATTATTAGACTGAACTCCACATGTGTAGCCTACTGCCTGTTAGGATTAAACATATTAAGTGTGATCTTTACTATGAATCGGAAGTGGACAACAGACAGTCTGCCGTTGGCTAAGTATAGAACGGCGCATATTGTATCCATCATCTTTCAGTAATAATAGTAAGAATGTGAGTGTTTTGATTAGATAATAATAGTATACGAATACACATTTACTGCAGTGTATAAAACAGATAATACAGACACCAGGGAACATTGAAAATAATGTCCTCATGTTCTCTTTCTGCTTGCTTGCACTATTCAAGGCGAAGATGAAAGGTTTTCCTGAGGCGTCCATGTTCTGTGAAATAGTATCGGAATACAACCACATTTCTGCTTGGCCATTGTGCCGTTCTTTAGAAACCAAACTGTAGCTTCTAAATCTCCTGCCTACAGTTCTACCAGTCTCCAATGTTCCGCCGTAATACCCTCTGAGCATTTATAACAGAGCCTGTTCTAATGAAAGCTTCAGCAGCCGCAATCCGCAACTGCACCGACTAACGGTCTATAGCACACTAATTCCTAATTTCTAGCTCCCCACGGATGTAGGTACACCACTCATGCGCACGCGCATTCCGGCAGGATTGCTAGTTCAAATTGGTAGATACACTATGATCCAACCTATGTTTTTCTCTTTGACGCAATGGCGCTTTCACAATTTATTACTGTTCTAATCAACAACAAACTTCCTGATGGAAATAGTCTCCTTATTTCAAATGATGTCTGATTTACAGTCATCGGGCGTACAAACGGTCAGTTCCTTATAACACGCAACTGCAAACTGACTTTAGTAAACTTATTGCTTAATGCCCAAAATGCTTTCATTGACTACATTTCCAACTCGAAAATCGTACTCAAAGCGACATTTCGATTTTCTTATGCGTGTAATCTCACACCTGGTTTCAATTTGTTTTATCTGCGAAATTGTTTACGAACATAATTTGAAATAAAACATATTACTGTATGGTGCCAGGACACTAACAGATACAATCTGGTCGTTGAATATGTAGAAGTTATTCATCATTGATCTAATCCTCTATATTTTTCATCATTGATCATCCCTGTATTTTAAACTGAAGTGCCGAGAGCACAGTAAATAAAGAAAAAGTTAGTTGGGAAATGCGGTACTTATCAGTACAGTACCTCAAAAATTTATCTGTTAATCAGCTCAAACAGTTAGTTGAGTAATATGGTACTTATCATACTAATTTGCAACGCTATTCAAGTGTACTTCAGCTTACTTTTTAAATTAACATTATAGCTTTCCAATTTCATAACAGCAATTTTTCATTTGAAAGGCCGCCATGCAATAATGCGTTATCAATTTCCTTTAAAAAGTATTCGATTATCATCCTTCAATACATTTACGGAGTTTACTAATGACTCACCCATTTAAACATCAGTTACACCCAGCAGTTGCTCAAATACCTGTTCCACCAGGTTTATTAAGATAAGAGGGCCACTTTAAGACCGATCGCTCATTAATCTCGAGGCATAAACCGGATTTATAAGACGTAAAAAATATATTGAATGCAAGGTGCTCCAAATTTGAGGATGAAATAGCCATGCGTCCTGCCTATCAAAAGCTTAAGAAAACTGCATAACTTAAAGCATAACTGTAAGTAACAAATAAATCAATAGAAATTTATGCTGTGCTTTTAATATGTCATTTTAATGCTAAAACATCTAGGATTACGATTGGCCTCTGCAAAAGAGAACGTGATGATAAAAGTGATAATTTCTGTCAGTGGTTTTTAATTTCATTGAGAAAATTCAGCACATTAAGCGTACTAGCAAATCTCTGGATGATTCAAAAATGCGAAACTCCGTTAGAAGGTTGAAATCTAAGGTGGTAATTACTTCAACATATCAAAGAGTTTTATAAGGTATTTCCTCCCTCCAGCATGCCTTCATGTTGTAACGGTAGCACACTCGGCGCGTATTCGAGTTGTCAAGGTTCGAGACTCGGCAAGAGCATTGCACATTTTTCAAGTCTCCTGCTTCCAAATAACCTAATAACTCTACAGTGGCACCCGAACTAAAAGGTGGTGGATTCGTCACCACCAGAATTTGGCGATTGGATCCCTTAATCTCCAGTCGCCCCTGTAAAAGGGGGGGAGCATATAAGGTGTTTTCTCCCTCCTTCCAGTTTGCCTTCGTGGTGTAACGGTAGCACACTCGGCGCGTATTTGAGTCTTGGCGAGGGCACTGAACATTTTTCATGTCTCCTGCTTGAAAATAACCTAATGACTTTGCAGTTAAGAAAAAAAAAAAAAAAAAAAAAAAAACCTCACAATCCAAATTCCTTGCATTTTATTATTAATGTCGAGTCGAGGGATCTCTAAATTTCCACATAAGAAGTGAAATGGGAGAGCACGACATCCATGTTAATCAAAAAGAAATCAATAAGTTCTGACTTTAAATGCAATTTTATTTATACACATTTTATTTACACTGAAAGTTGATTTGTTTCCAAGCATCAAAACCGATGAAAACGTCCGTTCTGTTTATCTGTCCGTTCTGCTTGCTCGCAATAATTTATATGCATTTACTTAATCACTTTCTTATTCACATTCACTACCGTAATTACTCTGTTATTAATATTTTACTATTGCTTACATGTTTGATTATGCCTAGCTCACAGATGCTATCTGCCCAAGTGCAAGTTACAGCAGATTTCGTTTTCGGAGTACATGAAACTAAATCAAACCGAGATACGGGAATTTCTACATCTTCTTCAGTACAAAAGAAAACTGACCGCACCATGGCAGTACCAGCTTGCCTGTTTAGGACTCGAAGATACAGTAGCGAAAGGTTGCTGTAGTCAGAAACTACAACACGTAAGTTTCTTTAACTTTATGTCCCTGAAATTCACTTTTGATATTTGGGTCAAGAAGCAAGAAATTGCAATTTGAATAAAAAAAGTTATGGAAATAAGTATGAATGTTAACAAAAATTGAATTTTTTTACTTTAGAAGTTTCTCGATTAAACTTCCTGTTCTCGTGTTTTATAATATTAGTATTTGTCATATACTATGGAGGACTGTCCTGTACAATTACGGCAACTTTTTCCAGAAGTCCAGTAAAGAAGCTATGTTAGAAATCGGAAACAAAAAGGCTGCTGCTGGCAAATTCACTGATGCAACTTTCACAGATAGGGAAATCAAAAATTCGAGTGCAGCTATGTCTAAGTTACAGAAGACTTAGCTTTTGGATCACATACAGCTAAACTGACCACAGGTACGTAAATTTCTACATTTAATCACCTGCAGTAATTTCCAGAAGAAAGTGCTTGGGATGTGAAGGAGAAGATGCTAATGTTGCTGTAGTTATTGAAGATACTAAAGCACCATTATCATCTCTTCCATTCATGTCTCCGAAATTCGCCACCCTTGCTAGTTGGATAAAGAAATACAGCCGCAGATTAAGGTAAATAATAGTAGCAAATACGAATTTTAATAAGAAAAAACTTTTATTGTCTTCACTATTAGAAACTTGTT